TTATTTCGATGATGATTATTTTCATTATGATGATTATTATAATTATTCTTATGAACATGATTATTGTTATTATAATTATTATTCATGATATTGATTATTTATCATGTTGTTTGATATTTATTGTTATTGCTTGATCACACCTTTTTATGCATGTTTAAAGGGAATTTGTATTTGTAATCACGCTTAATAAGATAATTAATAATCTTGTTTAGAGTTAATTTGATTATAATTCAGGTGATCGCCAATAATAGATTTATTTGTACATTAATATTCAACCAACATAGATAAACAGGTTTAGGGTTAATCATATTGATTGTATGTTAGTCAGAAAGCGCACATGAATACGATCTGAACAAAGTAGAGGCCTATTATTAGGGCAGGTTCAATCTCTTTTAGATTGGGTTTGTACCTTCATCCCCGAACCCTTATTTGGTTCAAGACCTTATGGAGTTGACGATCTCTTGGATCGTTAAGGGGTGTAACCTTCACCTCGTGAACGATTTACAAGTTCCTAAAAAACTTGTTGGCGACTCTTTTGCTCTATCTTCTTTCCCTTTGGACGCCACCGTACTTTAATGTATGATCACAATGGGGTTCAAGATAGGGGTTTAACGCTTGAAATTTATTCCCTACAATTCTCATTTAATATTCCAAAACTCAATTAAACATTTAGTTTAATCAAACATGGTTTCAATCATGTCAATAATAAAAGTGTGGTTCATATTCAACATGCCAACAACATTAATTCCGATTTATTCATCAATTCACCACAAATAATTCATACTTCATAAATTAAATCAATCACCAACATCAATCCAATCAATAACCTCAACCAATACCTATCATGAAACTATATTTGAATTAATTAAACAAAGCTTAGCATGCCTTTATACACTGAAGTAATTACCGAGTACGCGAACGTACCTTGAATATGATCTTAAAATCGTCACGACTACATGAAATCACTCACTTGAAAAATCCCTACAACCCAAAATTACAAAGAGGCATTAATACCTATTTAATATAAATTTTTAGCAATATATACACTCTTTAAATCACTTATAAACCCTCTAAAACAAGCTGAAAATTAATTACTCCTATTTTTATTCCCAATTAATGGATAATTAAAAATCTTTTCAAGAAACACAATTCTAACCTTTATATAAAAAATCCAGCTTTATAAAAACACGTAAAATTGCTGAAATTATGTTTAAAAACACCTATTTAAATAATATTAATTATCTACAATCAAATTCCATCAATATACATTAGTTAAGAAACCTAGGGTTTTTAGTTTGGGATTTATTTTTTAACTCAAAGACTATATTTGAAAATTATATACATAATAATTAAAATCAAACACCATAAAAATCATCACACAACCCAAAAATAACAACTGAATTAAGGCTAGATTAGAATTAAAACAAAATGAATAGTTTTTTTTTTTTAAAAAAAAAAAGATTCATACAACCGCACGGACGAGAGGGGGCTACTGCTAGCGGTTGCTACTGTCAGCTGTTGGTGGCGGCGGTGGCCGACCAGTGGGAAGTGGTGGTGGCGGATGGCCACCTTGTGTGCATGTGGTGTGTTTAGATTAAAAGGGAATTGGAAAAATTAGGGGGGGGGGAGAAAGTAAGAGGAGAGAGAGAGTTTATCTTTGGGTATTCTCCACCTTGGGCAAGATCTAACTTGCTCTTAAGATGGGTATTTATACCCCTCTTTATAACCCTCCTAAGCTTAAATTTCCTTTCTACCCTTAATGATCCTTTCTCCTATTCAAACTAGTCATTTGACTTCTTTAAATTTCCATTGGCTTTAAAACTTCCTTTTATAAAATCACATGCCCAAAAGTATCTAAAGCATAAAATAAAATCTTGTAAAAACTATCAAATAAATAAAATGGACCTTTTAAAAAAAACAAATCCTTTTAAATTAATAAAATACCATAAGTAATTCATTTCAAATTATTTAAATACTTTATGAAATACTGATTTAAAGTAAAATATGAATAAAAATACGGGGTATTACATGACTGGGCAAATAAGTTTCATATTCTGGCTTTAGGGACACTATTGTAGCACCCTAGAAATTTTTTCTTATGAAATACTTGTTTTGCTCCTTTTAAAATACGAATAGGAAATAACTAGATTTACCGTCACCCTAATTATGGCTAAGGCCGAATCAAATAACATAATGGAAGACTCTTTTCAAAACCATTCAAAATAAAACAAAGTCCAATGGCCAAACCAAACGAAAGTAAAGTCAACCTAAAATCAAAATCGACCCTACAACTTGGAACCATTGTAGCCCCTTTCAAAAACCAAACCATTATTTAAAACCAATATGTTAGTCTCCACCAATAAATAAATAATATTCAAAACAAATAAAGCAAATCATATTCTCATAAAGACTAAACAAGATTTGTTCTTCACTTATTTCCCCACATGGATATGCTGCAACACTTGAAAATTTTCTCCTTATTCTGTCTCCACTACTGGTTCACTATAAATCTTGAGCCATAATTTAAATTATTATAAGCTTCGAGCTAATTGTTCATTATAAATTTCTCTTATAATTGTCATATCACTATTAATTGATTGAGTTTGTGCTACTAACTTATTAGTTGATTTTATTTACTTTGGTTTTGGTTTTGAGCCATAATGGTTCCACATTGTAATTGGTTTTAAAATTGGTTTGAAGTTAATTTCCTTTGAAGTTGTTTTGGTTTGATGTTGGAATTGAAATGTTTTTCTTAAGTCTTCTTTCGTTGTGCTTTTTAACAAATGTCTTAGCCGTTATCACGATGGCGCATGATAATACTTTAGTTATTCTCTTAGTTGGTCTTATTAAAAGATAAAATGAGAATTTCAAAATAAGGAAATTTCTAGGGTGTTACACATGTGTTGGGTGCTCTCCTATCATCAAAAGAGAGAATCTAATTCACAAGACCTATAAGGATCTATTTGAAAACCATATCGTAATAAAAGCAGTAACCCTTAGCCTTACAAAGTACTATCTTTTTATATGCAAGCGATGTGTACGTCAAGCTGATATGCCCATTTTATATGGTGTTTTACCCTCGTCCCTTGGTCATAATTGATAGTGTTTTTGGCTCTTTAAAGCCACTTATAATTGGTATTTCCTAGTGTTTTCATAGTTTTTGTTGCGTTTTATAGGGCTTTGCACCTTTGGAGCATTTTCCCGGGATTTTTATGGAGCAACTACGAGCATTGGAGGAGCACGACCAGTTTTCATAGCTCAGGGCCGGTTAGAGTCATCGAACCGATGATTAAGGGCTTCGTTCATGTGATACCAAGGCATTTGGACCGAGTATTCAAGACCCGAAGAGGAAATCCGGATTGGGCCGAAGAATCAGAGCCCAATCGAGAAGTCTAAGTTAAAAGAGTGTGTCCCGGCCAAAATAGGCTCCGCCCGAAGGCGCGCCCGGCCGGGCGGGGAAGAATACCTTTCGCCCTATCTCGAGACGCCCATGATAGAAAAAGGCGAGCCCGATCAGGCGGTGTGGCGCCCGACCGGACGCGTGTTTCTGAGGAGCTGACTTTGGCGATTTTTGTTACTTTTAATTAGGATTAATTAAGTGTTTAATATAAATACGTTGTAGAGTTTTTTTTTAGACGAGCTCTTTCGCTCTCTACTTAGTTTTTAGATTATATTATCTCCCTACAACTTTGTTCTTAACTTTGTTCTTAATTCAACTCCTTAATTCCGATTACTTTGGTAATGATTTCTTCTACTTTAATCTCAATTATTTATTTTATTTCTTTCATCATGACTTGTTTAATTGCTTTGTTTAGCTTAGATTTAATTATGTCTGAGTAGTTTTCTTTCTAGGATTTATGGGGATCCATAAACAATATGAAGGGGTAATTGATTGTTGTTGATTGTCAATGCTTGATTAATTTCCTATTGATTGATTTAATGCTCTGCAACTAGATTAGCGGTGGTCTTTTATGTATGAGTTTGGCAATATTAATTCGAGATTTGAGAGATGAGAATTGATATTTAGGCTTAGTTTCAACAGGCAGACTAATTTATAAACGGTTAAGTCGAGATTCGAGAGATGCGATTTAATACCGGTAAATTAATTCTGTGATTGTAATACGTAGCGAAAGCCCTTTATGATTTGATTAATTGATGCATTGATGATTGATTATTATGTGTTACCTTGGAATGTTATTTATTGGTGAACCTATACCCTAGACCTTTATTCATTGATTTCTCTTTACCCTTAATCTTCGTAGTTTAGTTTCCTTTCCATATTATTAAAGTGTTACTTAATAATTTAGATTGCTTTAATTAATTAGGAATCGAAAGACCAGTTTCCCTGTGAATTCGACCCTACTTCCCTATTTGCATTAGTTAGAGGATTTAGGAATTCCTTTTGATTAGGTGATATGACTTTAGCCTGTCACAAGCAAAAATAAATACATTTACATCATTTGTTTTATATAACAACCTAAATAGTCGCTAAAAAAATACAACATATATAAATAGATAAAGTTAATGAGTTAAAATTGATAGTCTGATTAAACTTAAATGCCATAAACCAAAAAAAATACACTTTAAAATAAAATACAAATACAATTTTAAGAAAGTCAATAAAAAAAAATTAGTGTGGAAAATCTAGCATACAGTTAATAAAATACATGTAAAAATTATAAATAATTTTATGTACGAAAAAGATGAATTATGTAACGGGAGAAAGGTTGACACAAAAGTGATGGTGATTGTCGTTAGGTCACCGCTTAAGGTGGTAGCAGTTCTAGTGGTGGTAGGATCAATGAAAGAATATTCCTGTGTTATAAGGATTAATATCAAGAGTAACAACTCTCATATTCTCTAAGGTTTTGAGGTAGATTTTAGATACTATAGTTTTATTTCGTTTTAACATAGCCATGTGTTTTAATGATTAGAAGACCTAGTACATAAGCGAGGTGTAGTAGGCATTTACACCATAAACTTCAGGGGGTATATTGGAAATGGCAGGAGTGCAGAACCATCATGTCTTGAGAGAAAGGGTCATTTTCCATAGCAGTGTAATACGCCATAGCAGCCCAAAAAGGTTAAAAAAAGGGAGAGGGAATGAGACTGAAATTCAGAATTGATATTCTGCAGTCCTACAAGAAGTGTAGGGATGCTGTCATACACATTTTTTACTAGTACTGGGAAGGAGGATATCGTTGTTCCCATGGTAAGATCGATGATATTAAAAACGAGTATTAGTATTATTCTTCGAATATTAGTACAAAGTGACAAACTAAATCATTGATGATTTAATAAACATTTCAACTGTTGGTAAATTGGTGATCACTTTTAATTTGTTTCGATGTTTCTGTTCAACAAGATTGACTATGAGAAGAAAGGGGAAGTTTGGACAAAGATTGTATGCAATTCTCTTGAATATTGGCATGTAAATTTAGAGGCTATTGTCCAGTGGTCTCCATTCTCCAACGAGCAAGACCTCCTTCAGCAGGTAACCTTTGCTAGTAAATCTCTTATTTACAAGGGTTCAAGTTTGACATTCATGTAACGTGTAGAATGTCCTCTGATTCATTAATTAATTTGATGTTTGGCTTTTCATTTCTTTTTGTTGTAGCTTGGAATTTTGTTCAAACAAATATATGCTTTTCGAGTCTGAAATTTTTGCTTTATATGTAGTTCGATTCCATACGTTATCAAGGTACCAGAATTATAATTTACAATCTATGGGAGGATGATGGAGGACAGTTGGAGCTGGATTTTGGTACCGATCCTCATGTATGTCTCTATATACTACACACTATGAAAGATGCCAAATCATGCATTATTAAAATGATTTCATAGGCCTAAGATAGTTTTTTTTATGCTCAGGATATCCAAATTTGAGGAGTCGATAGGGATGAGAAAAGGATAGCAGCTATGGCTAGAAAGTATAGGTCAGACGCGCAACAAGTCACCCCAAGACTAGATGCATAGTCATAGTCACAATAAATATTGTAATGACACTGAAATGTTATTTACAATAACTATATGAATGGTAAATCATATTTGAAAAGAAAAAAAATTACTCTCACAGACTAACTGGTGCTTTGTTTTCAGAGTTATGCATCAATCCTTTATCTAAGAATTCCTCTTGGATTTCGAATTATACTACGTGGGCAAGATGTCATGCACCATGAACTGGTGAATGATATGATCCCCTCAAAACATGTGTCATACAGACCTATGCCTATAACTAATGGGACTGTAAAGGATTCAGCTTCACATTTAGAAAATGTACGATCTCTTCGATATCCTACATTTTGCTTCTTATAGCTGATTGATATAAAAAGGTCAACTAATAGTGTCATTGTGTATGTAGATGCAAGCTTTGGTGACACTGGAATTTATGAAAGATGCTAGAGATCATATGGATATACAAGGGTTTAATGTTCTTATAAATCTTTGCTGTTAAGTTTGTTTATCATATCAATGATAATTTCTTGTTTCAACAGCCCTTTTGGAGAGTCTGGAATGCTGCTGGAAGTGATGGTCGAGCAGTCATTGGTACCCTTTTCTCTTATGAATATAGCAAATTGTGGTGCTTTTCGATTTGGAATTTGATGATTTTATAAGATACTGATTATGCATAGGTGATTGCATAATTACATAGTTGGGGTAGTCGGTAGAATTAAGTTATTTACCCTTTCAAATACACCATTTTCCTGTGTAGGTGTTTTGGAGGCCAATTTTGTCGAACTAGCTCATGATAAGCAGGGTTTTGAGAGGACAACAACGCTGTCAAGACTTGAATCATGGCTAGTTCATCTATAGAAGACTTATTGGTTTGTTGATCTCATCACTGCCTTCTTCTAAACCTCTTCCTCCCTCTCTCTTTTTTTGTGTGTGCTAAGTTTAATCGCGCTTGTTTTTCTTATATTATAGGCGTGACAACTGCCATGAAATTGGTTATGCACCACGAATAAACAAAGTTGTTCCAACAGTAGTGTCTTCTCCACTTCCAATTAGAGGCAATGGCAATGCTGTAAAGGGAATGACTAGCTCCCAACAGAAGTGATGACAACGCTTTGGAAATAATCGGAACAGTAGTAAAAGGAATTCTGTTAAGAAAATTGAACAGATTTCACCATATGTTGAATCTTTAAGAGAAGATGATGAGATGACTAATAATCATATCGAGTTACCATCACCAACAATCCAACACAACCTTTCCAGTAGTAACAAGGTATTTCAAAACTAACATAAAAGTATATTAGATCTTTACATGATATAACTGCAAATTATTGTACTATGTTTATTTGAATTAGTATGTAATACCCTAAACTTTCGGGGACGAAACTTGTTTTAAGGAGGGTATATTGTAATACCCGAATATTTTATGATTTTATATTATATATTTTTATTAAAAAAAATAGTTATTTTTATTTATTAAATAACTTTTCTAATCTCATATTTTTATTTTAGAGTTCAAAAAGGTTTAAAACCCTATTATAATTTAAATATGACTCTTTATTTTAAAGCGTATATAAACTACTTTAACCCTATTATTTATTTGTACAGCCGTAAGTTTTGGTATAAAAAATCCTTTCTCATGGGATTAATTATAGCTAGCAATAGCCATAATTACCATGAATTCCTATAATATGTATTATCTTCATGATAACTCTTGATAAAACCCATTATTATCACTTTTCCCCAAAATTACAATTCTCGTGAGTGAGTTTTAATTGTGATGGAGGAGTATCTTGTGCGTGAATGCGTGAATCGGTGGAGTATCGTGCTTTATATTTGCTTAATTGTTTTCGGAAGGTAATCACACTATCAATAATATTGGAGTCGTATGTTTATATTTTTGTCTAGTAATCACACGAATCTTATTTCTTGATTTTGTTGGATTATAAATTGTTGGTATTGATTATACTTTGTATTATTATGTGTAAATTTTATAATTTGTGAATTATATATGATCATGATTTATATATATACATGATTAGTGTGTGGTATAATATGATTCTAATTGCCGTATTATTTTTGTGGTATTGATTGATTGTGTTATTTTTCTAGGGTTTTTAATGTTGTTTCTGTAGGGAGTATTGTTTTGAGGTTTAGGGTTACTAGTGCAGAGTGTTATTTTTGGGTTGAGATTTGATTAATTTTGGGAACTAGTTTTATTTCCCTAAGAGTTGAGATGTTTTTGAATTGAATTGTTATATTATTTGGGAACTCGTGCCATTATGGAGTTATTATTATTAATTTGTGAATGGTTATTTGATCGATGTATGAGATCAAAAGGTTGAGAATTATTATTTTGTTATTGGTTTGAGGCTCGACGTTATAGACCTTAGTGTTTGGCATGTTGGTAATGAGATAATGATCATAAGTTAAGAATGAGGTACAATCTTTATTATTTATTTTTCTATGATCCCCTACAGTGGGAATTGGCCAGTATGTGGTCTGGTTTAAGGTGTTTTTTAGTTATTGGGAGTATTCAAGTTTTTATACTTGTTGGTTTTATTCGAATTACCCATGTCCAAGGCTAGGTG